TCTGGGCTCCTTCCCTGCCTGCCCTGCTGCCCACTTTCCCTCCTGGTTTCCTTCCTTTCCTCCAAACATTTGGGGAAGGATTCGACCCCCCAAGAGGTGAATCATCAGCTCTTTGGAGAGAACCACTGAGTCACCGCACGGCAGCAAACAGGATGGCCTGAGCCCGGCAGCCCTCGTTCCTGGGGAGCGCTGGGCATCCACGCAGCACGCGTCCCACCCCCGTGCCACCGCTGTCCCCAGGGGAACAGAAACAACCGGTGCCAGCAGGAGAAGGGACGGACGACATCGTTGCTTTGCAGGGTGTGGAGCAGAGAGGGTGAAATCACCCCCCATAAAGGGTGCGGGTCCTTCTGCGGCTGCGGCCGGGCGGGAGAGCAGGGCTGGGTGGCAGGAGGGGTGGTCAAAGGCTTTAGGGGTGTTGAAGCACTTGGGCATGGCGTGTGTGGAGGTTCATCCTGGGGTGGACAGGCTTCCGACTCCGGAGTGAGGCACCCAAAACCACAGGCAGCAGCCGGAGAGGCACAGGCGAGCTGCTCTCCTTGGGGTGCAGGTTCCATGGGACCCCAGGGGACGGACTTGGCCACCCCATGCCTGCTGCTTTATGCCCCTCGGCGGGGAGGTGCTGCCCGGTGCAGGCAGAACGGGGAGGGGGTTTGCCTGCAGGGGGGGTAAAATGACAAGGAATGGTGCAGGGCAGATCGGGGGGGTCCTGGGGATGGGCACCCTTGGGCACAGGGATCCTTGGAGGTGGGGATCATTTGGGGCAGAGATGCTTGGGGATCGTGGATCCTCAGGGATGGGTATCCTTTGGAATGGGGATGCTTGGGGACAGGGATCCTTGGAGGTGGGGATCATTTGGGGCAGAGATACTTGGTGATGGTGGATCCTCAGGGACAGGTATCCTTTGGAATGCAGATGCTTGGGGACAGGGATCCTTTGGGATGGCATCCTCAGGAGCGAGGTGCTTTGGGACAGGATCCTTGGGGATAAGGATCCCTTGGGATAGGGATCCTTTGGGACAGGGATCCTTGGGGAGTGGGATCCTTTGGGACAGGGATCCCTGGGGAGTGAGACCCTTGGGGATGGAGACCTTAAGCCCGGGGACCTCGGGGACAGGGACCCCGAGGGAAGGCGATCCTCAGCGACCGGGATCCTTGGGGACGAAGACCCTCGGAGACAGGGATAGTTTGGGACACAGACCCTTGGGGCTGATGAGGATCCTCGAGCAGAGGGATGCTTCGAGACGAAGACTCCTCGGGGTCAGGGATCCGTGGGGACAGGGCTCCTGAGACCCTCGGGGCTGGGGACCCCGAGGAGCGGGCAGGGCGGGCCGGGGCAGCTTCGCCGGCCGATCTTTCCTGTCCCTCGCGGCGGCCCGTCGGGCCGGGTCACGTGGCTCACCTGGCCCAGGTGAGGCGGGGCCGGACGCCGTTCCCTGGCTCGCAGGTAACGCCGGGACGAAGCGGGGGGGAGCCGCGACGCCGCCGTGGCGGGACCCCGACCCCAACCCCGACCCCAGGTCCAGCCCGGGCTCTCAGCCCCGCTCCCAGCCTGCCGCCACTGCCTGCTCGGTGTTTCCCCCGGCGGGGCCGCCCGTCCCGGGCCTGGGGGGAGCAGCAGGCCGCGACCGGCAGGGAAGGACGGGCCCTG